ATTTTGTTTTGTCAAATTTCAAAAGGAATTTTTTAGAAAAGTTTAATATTTATATAGCCAAAACTTTTTTCTTCAGTGGTAGAAGAAAATATGTTTGTGTTATAGAATCGTCACTCAAATATTTTCCTGAAATATTTTCTGAAATGTTTAAATTCAAATCCTTGTGATTTTTTATTTATTTGTATTTATTTTTGAATGGAAAATACGTTTAATTAATATATCTTAAATTTTATAGTTAAATTTATATATCTCAGGGAATATTTTGTATTTTCTTTTTTTTTCAGCTTTAATTGAGTTTATTGGTACATTTTAGGGATACAGTACAGTTACATTCATTGTTGGGATCTTGTACCTCTACATTTTTTAAATTGAATTTTTGATACAACAGAAGTATGGAATTCTCTCTTTTCAATAAATCCAGTTGTTAGGCCTTAATCTTGAAATATTTATTAAGGGATATATCAATATTTTGTAATTTCAGCATATACCAAATTTCTAAGTAAATATCTTTGAGTTTCTTGTTATGTACCAGTAGTGAGTTATTTTAGTGTAGCAAATGTTTTTTTTGTTGTTGTTGTTGTTTTTGGTTTTGGTTTTTTTTGGTGCCGGGGATAGAACTCAAGTCCTTGTGCTTGCGAGGCAGGCGGCGGAACCACTGAGCTAAATCCCCGGCTATTTTAGTGTAGTTTTATATTATGTATGACACTGATTGCTCAAATCTTCACTCACTGTTATTTTCAAAATGACTTGGTTTATGACTTTTTATTTATTTTCAGTAAAATTAATAAACCTACTCAATAGCATATAATTAAAATTTTGATGGCTATCTCAGTGAATTAATAATAAAAAATGGAGGATTAAAATATATTGACTTTAGTATTTAAAATAGAAATATGTACAAATTGCCATCAGTACACACACACACACATACACACACACATACACACACTGGAACATTTGACTCTGTATATGTCAAGGAAAGTTCTACATGTGAGATTAAACGTGATCTAAACTGAAGAGGTTAAATCCAACCTTAAGGTCTTCCATAAAGAAGGGAGGGAAGATGTGTTATGCAGAAACCTGAAATCCAGATTCAGATTTTGTTGTGATGACTTTCATAAGGCATTCTAGAGAATTTGGAACCCAAATTTAGACAGTAGGAAATTTCTAATGGTTACAAATAAAAGAAATAAAATAATGTAATGTGTGAGTTAGATGAATTGGAAGCAAGATGGGAGTAGAAAGGGGCTTAGTAGGAGATAGGTCAACAAGATCAGTTAGGTAGCTGATTCACTTATTCAACACACATACATTGAGAGGCAACCATATGTTGCCATAGTGCTTTGGATATGCCAATGAGCAAACAGGGAGTCTAATTCATGTGAAGCCCACTTTTCAGGGGATAATAAAAAGCAAACAGTAAACTCAGTAGGTAATGAGGGTCTATGAGAAAGTAATAAGTGGAGTTGGGTACAAAGGACAGAGTGCCAGAGGAGGGAAGTTGGGGGAAAGGAGAGAGCTAAAATTTTCGGCCACTTAAGGATATATTTCAGTGAGAAGTTGAAGTTGATATTTCACAAGTAGTTAAGCAAGTTAGACTTTAAGAAGCCATTTAAAGGAATTGAAATTAATTTTTACTCTGAGTATAGAGGGATGCTATGAGAGAGTTTTTAACAGAAGAGTTACAGAAGTAGCTTTGGGTTTTAAAAAACCATTTTGAGGGCTGGGGGTTTAGCTCAGTGGATCTGGCACTTGCCTCACAAGCTCAAGGGCCCAAGTTTGATCCCCGGTACAAAAAAGTTTTTTATTGGATCACCTTTGAGAATGAACTATGTAAATTGGTGAATAGAGAAGTAGCAACCAAGAAGGTGAAAGGACAGTTAGAAAGTCAGTCTTTGCTTATATTCAGATGAGAGATCAAGCTAGCTTTGACCAGGATGGTAGCAATGAGAGTTGCTTGAAGCAGGTAGATTCTGGGTATTTTTGATGCTATGGCTTACAGACATTACTTGCAGATAAGTAAAGGGATATAAGAGAAGGTGAGTTAAGAGCATCATCAACATTTTGAGCCTGAGCCACTGGAGAGACAGATGCAGTTAGGGAAGTCTGTAAATGGTGAATAGTTGGAAGGAAAGACAGATTTGAGTTATCTGCTACACAGGAAAATGCATATGTAGAGTAGGTAGTTGAATGTATGTGTATGGAATATAGGAGAGAGGTTATCATGGAGGCATCAGCACAATGATCATCTACGGTCATGAGAGTGAGGTAGTCAAGGTAACAAGTACAGCTACAGAATATAATAATCTGCACTTTTGAGCACTTCAATATTAGTAGATTAGGGAAAAGAGAAAGAAACAAAAGAGGCAGAGAAAAAATACTCAGTAAAGTATGAGAATATCTGATGGTTTGTGGTGTTCTGAAAACCTATAATAGTAGGGCACTAATAGAGGAGAGAATTAATCAAAAATATACCATTGATAGAAAAAGTTAAGACAAAACTGACCACTGAACTGAGAAGATAAAGGACGCTGATAATATTGACAGGGTTGATTTTTTAGGTATTCTGGTAAGTTTTCAAAATTGCAATGGGCTTAAGAGCAGATAAATAAAAAAAGAATTTAAGACAGTGAGTACGAGTAACTCCTAAGTTTTTCTAAAGGAACAAAGAAATAGAATGATACTGGTAGAAGTGGGGCCAAATGAAATATTTTCCTCCTTTAAATAAGAGCAAGAACACCCCTTTAAACCCTAATCGAAATGACCTAGTAGGAAATGTTTGATACTATAAGTTCTAGATGAGAGGAGGAAATTGTTCAGTGGTGTTTCTAGGTAGGCAAAAGGGAGAGATCTCGTACAAATGTAGAGAGCTCTTTTCTGGATGAGATAACATTATCATCTATGATAATAAATTGGAAACTAGATTTTTTGGGTACAAAGACTGACAGTTGGTAGATCTGGTAGAGGGTTAAAGATGACAGGGACAGTATAAAGAGATTGACAGAAACAATTAAGATGGAAAACATTGCATTTACTCGTCATGTGGCACTGCTGAATTGACTTCTGGTAATCATTTTTTCTACATGACAGTCCACTGTACATACTATTATAATTTCTGTTTTACATATGAGGAGACTTAGGCAAAGAAATGTTAAGTATTTTAACCAGCGTGCCACAGCTAAGCAGAGGTAGAGCTGAGATTTGAACCAAAGCAGTAAAATGCAAGTCAGAAGTTCTCTGTGAGGAGCATTTCATGTATAGAATTGCCAAGACTCAAGGACCACGTAAACAGAAAGAGTGAGAATGTACCCTCTGCCATAAACAAAGATTTACTTTTGATGGATCATGAGAAGATATCTTATTTTTCTCTTCTTCACATGGTTAACTAAAATATTTTTTGGGGGGAGTCCCTAAACATCAACCAGGAGATAAAAAAAGACAGGGTTTAAATCAGGATGTCATCTTCAAGATCTTCTTTTCATAAAGAAAGATTAATTTGTGGTAAAATTACTCTGTGACAAGTTGTATACTACAGTATTTCTTGAAGTTTTGATTTTTTTCAAAAAACATCAAATTTTATATAACAAATATCACATATTCATATCATATATTCTATATAAAATATAGAAGCAATAGATAACAAAAATCTGAAAGTCATAGCTATCCAGGTCCTTTAGGTGTGTATGTATGTTCATGTATCCAACTTTTGAATACCAAATACACACCTACATGGTAGTATAGCTTTAAAACTTGAATCTCACAAATATATTTTAAACAAATATGTTAAATGTGTTAAACACATTGTATCACACAGGTATATTAATTTCCATTTAGTTTTTAGTATAAATTAAAATCCCAAATCTTTTCTTTCCTGACAGTGTTTCTAACATGAATCTTATTTCCTTAATGTTAAGCTAAATCAGTCAATTTAATACTAAAGTACCTATTTACTACTTCCAAACACCCCAGGAGATTTAAATGTATGATAAAATAACCAGAAAATGTGAGACAATTTAAACATTTTCTATTGATAGTGCTAGAACTTTTTCAAAATAGTTTTGAAATTCTTAAAGAAAGATACAAGGTGCTAAGGTACAATATTTTCACATAATTTCCAGTCCTTTGAAAGCATTAACACCAACTTTATAGCTCAATTTTTAAAACCCAAAGGCAAGAAACATTTACATGAAACATTACTAATTTACTTAAATATCTTGCTTTCTATATTTTAAAATATGGGTAAAATAAGCAAATTTTGTAGCATAAAAAGAACGCAGAGTTTCACAGCAGAAATTACTGGGTGGGAGCAAAGTTTTACCTTTTGGTTTTTAAAATTTCTATAGGTAACTGATACATGAAATAAGAACATAGTAGTTTCAATTATAAAGGCAGTAAGTAACCAGTGCTGTGTCTTAAAAATACAGACCAAACTAGGATATAAATAATAATGATAATGATAATAATAATAGAAACAAAAATCTGGGTAAGATAATTATCCTAGAATCACTTCAATAGCAAGATGAAATGTAAGAAATTTTTATATGGGAATTTTAATAGTTGTACAAAAACTCTATGAAATATTTTAAATAGAAGTGCAGTTCTTAAGAAATGAAACACGATGCAGATCAGTTTAAGAAATGTTACTTGTGCACCATGATATGTTGCAATAAATGTGGGATCTTAGTCTTTTCTAATGGCAACCATACACTGCTTCTGTATGTTCAGAAAGAAAAAAAGTTAATGATGGGGCAATAATGGGATCGACCAGAGTTTTTACCGCAGCCATACCATTGTGGAGTAATTTTGTTGTAGAGCTGTTTCTCAAATTAGTAGCATATTTCAGATAAAGAAAGGAAGTCGCCTTAACTTGAAACTGCTGTGTCATTTCTTCTTCCTTAACTGAAATTCCAACCAGGGTTCAGGAAATGCCCTAATGAGCAACTTCTCTTTTCTTTTTCCTCAACTAAGTGGATTCCAACCAGTCCAACTATTCATTACTTACGATCAGATCATCTACTTTGCTTGTCTCATTGGACATGGAGCTTATGCTATGGGAAAAGGGATTGTAATTTGGTGCTGTTTGTAGAGGTGATTACACTGATAGAATCCAATCGTTGCTGGTAGGTAACTAAACTGGCAGGTTAATTTTTTGTACGTTAAACAAGGTATGAAGGCAATTCTAATCAATACATGTTTTACTTTGATGCATGTAGCTTGCTTATAATTATAATTTTGTCTTGTATGATAACTAGATAGCAGGATGTTAGAGTAGTCAAGCTGTGATTTGCTATAATTTGAGTAAAATATAACTGGATCTCCATGAATGTCTTATTTTAATCAAGATAGAAATCACTGTTTTAGTTCATGATAACCAAATACATTTCTTCTTCCAGTTTAGTATTCTCAGATATTTACTAAATTGGAACATGATTTAACATTTTATTGCCTCATGTTATTTTATGAGTAAATGTTAATTTCTGTTAACATTCCAGCAAAATCTATTTTATTAGCTTTTAGAGGTAAAAAATATGTTATGTTCATAGCAGAAATAACACCACAGTATATTAGCATATGTTCTTTTCCAGAGTTAAAATATTATTCTTGTTTTTTATGCAGATGTAAATCTAAACTGTTTGTTAAGAGATTTCACATATTTGAAAGCAATTAAAACTTTAAAATAATATTAATAATTTGAAAAATTATAGTAGGCACTTAAAATTTATTTATGTAATTCTGCATATTACACATGTACATATATTTGTATTTGTTAGTATTACTGTACATTTTCAGTATTTTCTCAGAATGTTTCATTAGGAATAGAAATGTGAAAAATAATAAAACTGACATAATCATAATTCATCTTGAATAGTTTTTTAGTAACTTATTCTTTACTGGAAATTTCATTTAATATTGAGACTTTAAAAATAATCTTGATGATTCTTCCCTATTCAGAGATTGTGTCAACAAAGCAAAATGAAACAGAACATGGAGTTCATTATTAAGAATATTCAGATAATTCTGTTGTACTTGTATTTCAGAATCTGAGTGCAGCTACACTTTTTCAAGTAGCTTTGAATTAGTACTAAACTTTAACTTGTTGGCGAGGGCTACCTATAATGGGCCAAACTTTATGGTTTCTGTTTTGGGAATTGAAAAGAAATTTTTGTTGTTCTAAAACAAATGCAGTATATACAATTTTCATGGTATCTATTACATTTATTTTTTATTATTTTATTTTTCAGCTACATTCCAAAGAAATAGAACAGTGCAGTATGAGTACATTTTGTGGAAGTGAAACTTGGAATTGATGTAAAAAAATAAAACACATTTATCAAAGTCAGCTTAATTTTAATGAGTGTTTTAGTTGTATATACCCTAAAGTATTACAAAATGTTTAAACATAAACCAAATTTTTAGCATAAGTGACATCATAAATCATACTAATTAATGTAGTGAAAGTAGAAAATAATTTTTAAAATTGGTTTGGACACTAAGAAAGGAGAAATAAGAAAAGAAGAAACTGAAAGAAATGCAGTGTTCTTACACAATAATTTCAAATAAGCTACCAAAATATGGTTCAGATAGAATCATGATGGATATTGATAAAATAATAAACACTGTATACATGTGGAAATGCAATCAATCTTTTATACATTGCACAAATCAAACTATACAGATTCCTCATGGAAATAACCTCTTACTGTATCAAGAAATGGATCTCTTTTTAGCATAAGAAGTGAAATGACAGCACATCCAGAAAGGCAATATTTACAAATAACAGATTGGTATTTTGGTACTTTGGCAACAAACCAAATCACACATAGAGTGTACCTGTGGATTCCTTCAGGTTTTACTGGTGATGTTTACTAAGATCAAAGAGAAGAAGCTGTGAGGCATAGAGGGATAGGAGTGACAAGCATCTGCAAAAACATAACCTATGAAGGCAGAGGTTAATTGTAAGTTTTATAGGGAAAGAAAAAGAGAAGCAAGAAACTAATCAGCAAAACCTAATCCTTTCTTTATAGATCTGTGAAGTGCCAGCCAATGGAGAAATCTGTGGAGCTGGGTTGGGCTGTTTGGAGATGGGTCAAAATTTAGCAGCCATTTCCTTTGTAAATGTAATTGATGATAGATAATTTTGTGTTTCCATTGAATTGGATTCATTGGAACATGGTGAACCTTGGCTACTTCCCAATGAAAATGAGGCAGTTCATTTTAAAATTGGGGAATACATACAAGTGGAAAAGTTAAATAGTATAATAGAGCATGGAATCTCCTCAGGTGACCTGAGTTAAGAGTAGATTGGTTGCCAGGAGTGGTGGTGCACGCCTGTGATCCCAGCACTTGGAAGGCTGAGGCAGGAGGATCTCTGTGAGTTCAAGACCAGACTGGGCTACATAGTGAGTTCCAGGTCAGTCTCAACTACACAGTGAGACCCTGTCTCAAAAACAAACAAACAAACAAACAAACAAACAAAGAGTAGATTGGCCAAAGGGAGAAAGCCCTTGTTTCTATTTTCAGTTGTTCTCAGGAAAGGGAGATTGAACTAATGATTTTCAAATCCCATTGGGTTGCATTTTTCTTTTATATTTTTGAGTTTGCAAGAATGAGTGAGAATTTGTTCTGACAGTGTCCTATTGGATCTCTTTTTGAAGACACAAATGAGGCACAGTAGGAAATGAGTCTGGAAATAGAAGTGGATTTTTAGCAAGGTTTCTCCTGTCCCTTTATGTTCATGTCTAAGAGTTGCCATGGAAGAGTATTTCCAAATTTATACCCCCTCCCTCCTTCTCCTCGTCCTCGTCCTCCTCTTCCTCCCCCTCCTCCTCCTGCTTCTTCCCTATTAAAACAGATCATATTCATTTTCTAGACTTTTGCACTGGGCCAGAGAATTCTATCCTTTTGTTCATTTATTTTTCTAGTCCTTCCTTATAGGAACATGCTCCGGGTGTGGAAGATGGTGTATTCATGAATAAATTAACTTCAGATAGAAATAAGGGTGTAAGCCAGGACTTTCTGTTACTAGACGTTTGCCTTTATTCCCAACCCCACCCCTAACACACTTTGCTGATACTCATTCTATCAAACCTGTTTCACCGGTCCCCCAAAATCTAGGCTGGTACTGACTTGACTCCATTTGGATTCTGTCTTTGAGCGGGTAACTTCTCTACCCAATAGTGTTTACATGGAATTTTTAAGCAGCTCAGATGTTTACCCTCACTGGTCCCTTTGAACCTGTGTAAATTCAAACATTTAAATTACTGAACCATCTAAGGTGTGCAACAGAAGTTTGTCATCAGCATTTTCACAATGATACTACATTTTTGTAAAATTCTAGGTTTCTCCTTACTCTTAAGAGACATCTGAATCTTTAATCATACTCTCAAATATTCTCTCATTTTAGCCAGTTACTTCCTCCTCAGTAGCTATGATTCCTTTGCATTTGGAAGAAAATTTTCACACAAATTATTTGTTCTTTCTATCGAAATTACATCTACTATTAAATTTCTTTTTCCTGTAAGCATGCCCAATCTTTTAAAAAAATTTTCACAGTGTTCTTAAAATGTAAAGCACTTACTCTTTTAGAAGGACTTTTTCCATCTCTGGCCACTTGGAAGACAGATTGGAGGGTGAAAGACTGGATTCATTAATTTTAGATTTTTGTTTACACAGTGTTCCTATATCTGCAAAGATGAGTGTGTGGTGTCTCTGTGTAATACTTTGCAAGTAGATGCACTTTTGCAATAAATAGAAAGGAAGAACTTTGCTGGAAATATGATAGAATCTGTTTCATGAGAGAATTGAAGGTAATACACAGCAACATTTTCCACTAGAGAAATAATCATTTCGCTGAATGTGTCAGGGGATGTTTCTGTGTCCCCCGTTCTGTTCCATTTATCCATGTGTCTGTTTTGGTCCCAGTACTATGTCACTTTTTATTAGTATTGCTTTGTAGCATAGCTTGAAGTAAGGCATTGCAAAGCCTCCTGCTTTGCTCTTGTTGCCCAAATTGCTTTTGCTATTCTAGGTTGCTTCTGGTTCCATCTGAATTTTAAGGTTGTTTTCTCTAGTTCTATAAAGTAAGCTGTTGGTGTTTTGATTGGGACTGCATTAAATTTGTATACCAATTTCGGGAGTATGGCCATTTTGACAATGTTGGTTCTTCAACAAGGGACAACTTTCCATTTTCTGATGTCCTCTTCAATCTCCTTTTTCATAATACTATAGTTTTCTTTGTAAAGGTCCTTTACTTCCTTGCTTAGGTTAATTCCTACATATTTCATTTTTCTTGAAGCTACTGTGAATGGTATCATTTTTCATAATTTCTTTATCATAAAATTCATTATTGGTGTACACAAATGCCAATGATTTTATGGGTTGATCTTCTAACCTGCTGTGTTGGTTATTAATTCTAAGAGATTTTTGGTTCTTCTATTTAGAGTATCATGTCATCAGCAAATAATGATAGTTTGAGTTCTTCCTTTCCTATATGTATCCCTTTTATTTCTTTCACTTGATTGCTTGATTGCTCTGTCTAATGTTTCAAGTCCCATGTTGAATAGAAGTGGTGATAGTGGACATCCTTGTCTTCTTCCTGATTTTGAGGGGAATGCTTTAAATATCTTTTATCACATTCATTTAGTTCTTCTGTACCAGTTTTCTGCAGGGCTTTTATTATGAAGGGGTATTGGATTTTGTCAAAAGTCTCTTCTGCATCTATTGATATGATCATGTGGTTTTTGACCTTGCTTCAGTGTATGTAGGGTATTACATTTATTGCCTTATGTAAGTTGAGACATCCTTGCATCTCTGGGATGAAACCTACTTGATAACGATGTGTGATCTTTTTGATTATGTGCTACATTTTATTTGTTAACATCTTGTTGAGGAATTTTGCATCTTTGTTTATTAAGGAGAATAGCCTATAGTTTTCTTTTCCAGTTGGGTCTTTCTCTGGTTTGGGCCCAGGGTGATACTGACTTCCATTAATAAATTTAGGAGCACTCTCTTCCTTTCAATTTCCTTGAAGAGCTTAAGGAGTATTAGTAATATAACATCCTTAAAAGTTTTGTAGAATTCAGCAGTGAATTCATCAGATCCCAGGCTTTTTTTAGTGGGT